CCCCCCGGCCTTTGTGATAATTGGAACGTACACAGTGTGCCCCACGCACGAGGTGAAAGGTTACACTCATACTCATAGTACTACGTCACCAGCCTCTCTCACTCCCTGTGGCACCGCTAGGTCTAATTAACAAACAATAGACGGCGGGTCTAACCTCGCGTCGAGTATCTCGTCAGCTAGAGTTCGTCCGTTCACCAGCCCGCTCTTGATAAAATTGTGGAGCGGACCCAAAAAACGAACTGACTTGAGGCTTGAGGTCCGCAGTCCGCTCACTGAGAGAGTCAAATTGTGAAGCGGACCAAAAAAAATGAACTGTCTTGAGGTTCGCAGTTCGCTCTCATGGCCGTCCGTTACACGTTTGCTCTGACTGAGTCCACGAGTAACGAACCTGTCCGTCCGCTCGCCCCAACTCTACTATCATCATTATCTCTCCTCCTCCTTTACTTTGTATCTTATTCTCTAGTTACACCTCTAATCTTCGGCATTCTTATGACCTAATTGTGTTGCAAGTGCATACTCGTAGACTTGTACTAAAACTAACCGTTAAAAGATTATGAGCTCAGAAAATAGTTTTGTGCTGACATTCAGAAGTATTTAATTGTCAAAGCTTGCGATGGGCAAGTGCTGTATAAGTCTAAAGGTTTATGTCTCCTACATAGTAGTTGTATATTTTTAAACACAGTGTACAGTACAGTTTTTCTTGCAAGTAAATGAATCAAACTAGATTGATATAATCCACTGCATACTCTAACATGTACACTGTATATATATACAATACACTCCTACGCTGCTGAATGTGATACTGAAAGAACTCTACAATGTAAAAATGTTTTGAGCTTTGCTTTTATTTCTTTTTTAGGGATTCCCACCTGAGTTTTTAAGGTCCCTACATGGTGATATTTTCTGTCCCATGTTATTACGGTTACTGTTTTTGTTTGCTTGTTTGGGGGGGTTTTTTGCAGCTCAATTTATAACTGTCGCTAAGCCAAATCGTTGTTATTGGAGTTTTGCTGTTATTTGGAGTGTGTCAAAAACAAATAAATGCCATGCCCCTTTCGAAAACCGTTTTCCAGTTTGAAAGTACGATAGAATGAAAAGTGCCTAAAACCATTGAAGAAGTTGGAAAATAATATATATATTGATTGTTTGATGTCAATGCTTATGCATAAGTGAGTAATATGATTCTATCAGTGAATTTTGGTATGCAATTTAACTGAATGGGTTTGTTTCAGGGAGGGGGTGAGGAGAGGCGATATTATTCTGCTGGGGTTGGTTCACTTGTTAATGACCAAGAATTAATGTTTTGAGGACAAAAAAATATGGCAACAATAACATGTGCGGCTTTAGTGGTATCTCTTTGTGTGGTGATGCCACCGTATGGAAGGAAAATTGTGTGAATGTGTCCTTGAATTTACCTACCTGATCTTATACGCAATCTATATTTCCGTGCCTGGGAAACCAGAACAATGCTACTGCATGCTTTTTTTTGGGGGGGGGGGGGGGTGTTGATGCTTTATATATTAATATATAATAGTTAAAGAATTTGAATATGCGGTGAGCATTTAAAAGATGTTCTTGTTACTTTTTACAGGTTGTTATTCAATGAACCTGATAATAAATTGATCGCACCTTTTTCATTTTAAAGACACAATACTGTTGCAAAGAATTTAATTTTTTGTTTTTGGTCTTTCTGACATTATTTTTGCTATTTAATTATTTTCCCTTTTAGAATTTTGGGGTTGTTGTTTGTTTTTTTAATATAATAATTAAATACTTGTAAATGAAGAATTTTTGTGCTTGTTAGGTCTTGCTTTTGTGTTTTATTTTGTTTTTGGATCTCAAATTCCCTATCAAATGAGCACTGTACAGCTGATGTGCAAATTTTATGTGAACAAATGGGCTCAGGCCGCCAACAATAATGTCTGTTCCCCACATTTTTTTCAATTCCTTATTTCTGGTCTACTTTTTTCTGATGAGAAAAAAATTACTTGCTGCTTTCATCGTCCTTTTTTTCGTCAGCAAAGCTCAGTAAGAGCTAGACTAGATGTACTTGTATCTTGTAATTTGGTCGTGATGTTTCTGGTGTTAAGGCGTTCGGAATGATCTACACAATTTGCTTCCGTGTTGACGGTTCCTAAGCTCATCTTCCTTGTTCATTTTCCATCTGGAATTTGTTACTGTCCTTTTGTGTTAGTGGACGGGAGCTGTTTTGCCCCCAGAAAGTTATTTGCAACAATATATTTTCAGTCAGCACTTGAGAAGTACTAGCCCAGAATCTAGATTTGTCTTTTAAATTGCGGTTTTTTTGTCTGCGGTATAGGTCTTGTGCTCAAGAAGTATGTTGTCAAAATTCAAATTCTTAATATCGAGACAGAAAAAAAGTCTGAAAAGATACACATTTATTTGGGTACTTAAAAATAAAAAGAAACAATGATGGTATTCCAGGGTGTGCTTACATGTTGTCTTTACTCATTGGGCTAATGTTCCTAGCAGTTTAATTTTGGTTGGGGTTGGGGGGGGGGGGGGTAGGTTTTGTAGCCATGTCTTTATGATTCAGATGTATTAGTTCAAGATCTCTAAAAAGCCGGCTCCACATACAACGGGGTATTTTTTTTTTGTCCCTTGCCAGTTTGTTGAGTAATGTCACCTGAGACTTTTTTAATCAATTTATTATAAAATTTAATTTTCGGTGCTATGTGGTTTTGATTTTTGTCTGTATTTCTGGTTGTCTTGTTCATTTGTGCTTTGCCTTTAGAATCATATTACTATCACTATCACCAGATCATTTACCGTCCCAAATTAACAAGGATCTAACTCCGTGTCTGGGGCCTTCCCGTGCACTTTCCCTGCATCATATTATGTAAAAGTTTGACTACCTATTCTTTCATTTACTGATATAGAAATATAACAGTTACAACCTCGTTGAATTCAAATAGGCCAACAGTCGAAATTGTCCAAGACAGCCATCCTTCTGGACGTCTTACTAGTACAGTGTCATTAAAATATAGAAAAAAACGCAAGGTGGGAAGTGGTTGTTTGTACAGGTAGCCAGTAGAGCAGGTTCAACTGTATTCTGTCAAATTTAGAACTTCCTATTCCTTTATCGTGTAACGCTGTTAATTTTGTTCTTCACTTGGGGCAGAATATATATATATATATATATAGTCTGTGAAAACTTTGAACTCTCAACAAAAGTGATTGTAACCGAGATAATACCTTGTTACTCTGTTTCGTCCTGATTTGTCAGTCGATCTTTTTAAAGTGCATACTGGGCCAGTGCTTGATGCTCATCATAGTCATCCTTTTTGTTTGTTCACATTAGGGCTGACCAATACCAACACTTATCTGAACCTGTATGCTCTGCTGCTGACGTGGGAAGTTAACATTAATGTTGGGGGGGGGGTTTCCCCGGAAAAACCTGCTGTAAGGTCTGATTTGTATAATATTGTATAATGCCAGTGGTTTTTTTCAAAAGGGCATTATTTAAGATAACTTTCAATATTACTGCAGGCCATTTTGTCATTTGCTTTTTGATTTGTTTCACTTACTTACTGATGTTGCTGCTATTTGTCATTGCGAAGGGTGATACATGTATTTTGATAGAAAATCAGTTGGTTTTTTTCCCATTTGCTCTTTAATATCCGAATATTTGGTGGATGGAAAAAAGTCTACATACTTGACTTCTTTTTTTCCAATGGGCTGGAAATTGCTGCTTCTTTCTGTGAAGGCGGAAGCGAAAAAGAGTCTGTGATCTATTGGGGGGAAAAACTTTTGACACCTCAATCAATTGATTTTGAAACTACCATTGCAATCAGTTTTTAACAGTTTGGCTGTTTTAGCATTGCTTTTGAAATTGCATAAGATATCGAATGAAATCATGACAGTGATAAAATAATACTCCACACTTTCTCAGGCCGCATTTTAAAGTACCCACATAGTAGAAATCTTTCTTTCTACAGAAAATTAATTTAGGCTAATGGAATTCTCTCCATAATTCATAAGGCCATCTTACTAAATATAATCTTTGCATCTATTCATTAGGATTCAAATGATTTTTCTGCTCTTTCAAACATTTTTCTTAAATTACACAACAAGCTGTGTTCCTCTTCCGGGCTTGCCACATTAAGCTCATTATGGTTTTATAGTCTTATATATTACAATTTTATATTTTGATATTGGTATGGAAGCACAGTTGTAGTTATGTAAACTCCAGATGGATTGATTTTTCCCATGAAAAGTAAGAATAATTTTCATTAACAGTGCATAAAAGTTATTATAAGTGAACTGATGGTTTTTCAAAAGCATTTTGTGAATGTGAACATATTTATTAAGCAGTGTTTGGATGAGCCAATTTAATGAATTGCTGTGACTGGTGCATTCGCAAGATATTTTGCTGCAAATTGATGTAGATCAAAACTTGAATGGGTAACAAGCAATAGGACCATAAAGGCGGATGTTGAATGTGTCACAAGACAAGACTCTACTGAAACATGCAGTTGTGTTAA